TTTGTAATCCGAATCCGACATTATGTAAAACCTTCTCTGCATGCAAAATGTGGCCGTGCAGGGGATTGAGATGAACCCCCGTTTGCGCTGCTTGGGCGAAAGCGAAGGTGCCCAGCTTGCGACGGTCCCAACCAAGGTTTTCAGGCCGCGCATGCCCATGCCGCTCCACTTCAGGCAACAGCCACGCCAGGGAGACCAGAAAAGCTTGCTCACAGACTTCCTGATGCCACTTTCAAGCTCATCCCAACCCGCACGCTGCACAAGCATGTGTGAAGGAGTGGGCTTGCCCAATCATTCTAAAGATCTGGCCAGGCTTTTCTTCTTTCCAGATTTCCCTACATCCAAGCCTCGTGGAGCACCGGAATTTTCTCAGGCTGGTGTGCTGCGTGCGATTCTTGGAGGCTTCTTCTACAAGTAACTTTAAAGCATGGCATGGCATCTCTCTGCCAAGTACTCCTCAGTGTGTTGCTCCACGTCATGCGCCAACTCACTTGCGAACACGTGGGTAGAAAATTCAATCTGCCTCCGGGAAGCTTTGCGGCTCACAAGACAACATGTGCTTTGCAAAGCGGGGAGTTGTTCAATCTGAGGTAGGAACCATGCCGCCCATTCCACGTCCACCCTTCAAACGTCTTGCAGCTGCGTCTGTGTAGGATGGGACCTTGTGCATTAGCGCCACTTGTCCACGGGCTGTTGCGGGGCAAGACTGTAAGCCGGAGGCAACACCAGGGATGATTGCGTCAAGAGCATACAACCTTCGAACAGAGCTCTTGGAAGCAATACTCCCTCAGTCTTCGGAAAAAATCTTGGCCATTGGCAGGCCCAAGGCGACATCCACAAGGTCCTCAGCCCCAGCACAAGTAAGCTTCGAAGTGCTGGAATCGAAAACACCGATGGAGCTCGTCTGAGTGCACCACTGTCGATCCTAAAGAAGCATCTGCTGCGATGTAGCCAAGGTCGACAGACCTTCAAAGCCCAAGCCATTCATGGAAGTCCAACCGCAGCAGCTTGGTGCCGAGCATGTTCACCATCGTGCCCACAAAGTTCACAACCTGCTGAACCAATCCATGCTGCAACCTTCTCACAAAGCGCACTAGTGATGAACAGAGCGCTATGGCTCCATCCTCATCTGTAGTGATGCCCTTGTCGATCACCGATGTCAGCATGTCAGAAACGGTGGACACCATCTGCGTGAACAGCTTCGAAATTACAAATGCGACAGCTCTTACGGAGTCCATCTTGCGCATGTCATGTCTTCCATACATGTCGAATGGTTCCACAATTCTTTTGCTGCGCAGCCATTTTCTGGTACGAGCACTGAACAGATTCATCAGCGGCATCTAACAGGTGCCCGATGGTGAAACTCACAATGACCTTAGCTGAGTCAACGAAACTGGGCCATCATACCAAGTTGGCGAACAAGCAAAAGGACCTGCAGCGTTTCTTCTGGCAATCCCGCCCCTCTGGTTCGAAAGGCTTGCCTTGGCTGGCAGTGCAAAGCTGCACTCTGATGTTCGAGCTGCCAGCCTCAATGTCCACAGTGTTATGCTGCTCGGTCGTGCTGCGAGGCCAATACGCCAAAGTCCTCATAATCATCAAGAGCGTGCGCAAAAACATCTTAGTTCTGAATTGTAGAAATTTCGCATGCGAATCTTGTTCCTCCTAGAGCAAGTGGTCGACCCGAAGGTGCTCCTGTGGCAGGCTACCTACTTTCGGGAGGAATCAGACAGATCTGGACAAGGGTACCGGGTACTGATGGGTGCTGCCTGACAGTTGAGCTTGTTCGCCACCAAAAACAAGTAGTGCGCTGCCTGGGCACACGTGGTCTCACGTAATCTCTGACTGCGCACGCGGCTGCCTACCCGGAGCAGCTGACAACACAGAAAAAAAATCATGCGGCCTGTCCTTTGCTCTCAGTGGAATAATTGTCCGCATTCACAATCGTTGCCGCAAAATTGCCAGCCCAACTGGGGGCACCTGGCCAAAGCCAATTCAAGCACGCACACCGCAGGCATCTGCCAAGGCCCTCGAGCATTGACCCGGGGACACTTTATGTCGGTGCCTGCAGCTTTGACTGGGCGCCAATGTGCCATGTCAAAGTCAAGGGTCCACAGTGTCAAGTCACCTTTGAAGGTATATGCCTATCTGGAAAGCAGCAAGCGCACAAGAGCTCGTCCCACCTGCATTGCCTGCTTCTGCCTTGCCCCGATCCAGGACCATGATACCATTGTTGCAAGCCACCATGAAAGGCCGACACGCGACGACCTGGCAGAGCTGTCATGGCAGGCAGCAGCCAAAGGCACTTTTCGATCAGCGCAAGACTGTTTCCTGGCCCTTGCTTCAATGACGGAATGTAACATCACTTTGTCCGCTCGGCTGGAAACATCATGTCTGGCCTGCCTGCAGTGCCTGCAGACCGCCAATTTGGGCCGCCAAGACAGAGGGAAACTGGAAACAGGTTAAGCACGGCTTTGCAGTCTAGGCCATTTTGGCCAGACGTTCGACGCGACGGTGCTTCTCTTTGAGCAACGTTACTAAGAAAGAAATGCCTCCGCGAGTGCACGCGAACCGTTAAGTTCTTTGCATATGCGAGGCCATCAAATTAGCCATGCAGGTCTAGCAAGTCTCGCAACTCTATGAGCCAGAGAAAGTAACATCTGCCTGGTGACTTGCATGTGCGCCACCATCGAAGGCCTTCTGTCCGAGCCTGATTGCAATCTCTATCAGGGGCAATGTGGCCGTTGCAGGCTGTTTACTTTATATTACTTCAGGCAGTTGAGGAGTGAGCAATGAAGGATCAGTTCGTTGCTTTTTTACGCAGACTTAATTTAGGATGTTTCGTCTTGTTTAGAGTATTCCAAAATGCGAGGACGCTCCACGCGAGATCAGGGGTCCGAGCCGAAATGCTGCAAATCGCAGCATTTTGGGTTGCACAGAGGCTGCAGATACAGATACTGTAAATTGCAAAATTCTGGGCCGCGTAGAGGCTTCATATACCGTGCATTGCCGCGTGTTAGGTCGCGTGGAGGCTGCAGATATTGTAAATTACAGCATTGAAGCTCGTCTAGGTAAGTTAGAGCTGTGGGACCTCATCCAGTGCCTGCAGATACTGCAAAACACAGCTTGAAGCCTTTAGAGCTTGCAGATGTTGTACATTACAGCATGCCAGCTCTGAATTTTCTGGACCGCACATACTGTAGATTGCAGCAATTGGAGAGTCTGTAGACCGTAGACCTGGCAGAGACTTTAAATTACAGCGTCAGGACCTCATCTAGAGCCTGGAGTTACAGCATTTGGAGTTCTTTAGAGCGTGCACAGACTGGAAAATGCAGCTTGAAGCTTTAGAGTTTGCAGGTGCTGTAAATTGCAACATTCGGAGCTTTGCAAAAACGTAAACACTGTTTCAGCCCCCCCTTGGCAAATGATCCGCAACCTCTCCTACTGCAAAGATGGTGAACAAATGTTTTCGTGCCATGGAAGAGATGGATTTTAAAAAGCGGTGGGGGGGGAGGGGGGGGGGTTGGGTGCCCCGTCATTTGCAAATAAAATGATCTGCACAACCTTCCCGTACTCCCTTACTGCAGACATGGTGATAACATGATGCGGGTTTCTTATTGCAAGCATGGCTGGGCTGTAGTCAGAAAAACCATCTTGGTCCTCAGCATCTTATACATTTTTCTATAATACCATATCCATCTGTAAAACCCCTTGAAATCTTATGTACTGTTATTATCAAGCCTCTATTAGCGGTTAAAAAGCCTTTCATAAACCATTCGTAAACCTACTACAAGCTAAATGATCAGCACAATCTTCTACTCCTGCAAACATACGGCGAAACGTGGTGACGACATGTGTCTTTTACTTCAGGCATGGATGGCTATAAATACGGGGGGATCAGGTCACGCCCCCCATTCGCAAATAAAATGATCCATACAATCTTGCCTCACTGCATACATGGTGATGATGACATGAAGCTTGTTTCTTGTTGCAAGCATGGGTGGCGTTTCGGTAGACCCACAAATCGGGGGACATGTAACGGATCAGCCGTGGCGCGAACTGGATCCGGGGGACTTGCAGAACAATGACGTAACGGATCAAGGGGGGGTCGCAACGGGTGACCTGGCGAGGCACGAATCGGACCAGCCCGAAACACGTAACGGCCCAAGATTTCGGATCAGCCAGACCATCCCTGTATCTGAGGCTTTCCGCTATCATTTCAATCGGAAGCGCCGTTGGGGAGCCGGATTCTGAGGACGCTGCAGGCGGGGTTAGAAGTGACAACACTTACGAGCCGAGGATGGCAGGTTTCAGGACAGCTACGAGGGGCACTTACCCTAGACCCTCCAAACCGGGCATGCGTCAGGAGGACATTAGACTCACTATGAAGCTCTTCATGTGCGGCCCTCCCAGGTCATGCACATGTATAATAGACATCTTCTAAACGCCTTAACTATGTTAGCAGATAGTGGAATCCTCATCAATACCTCACAGGTTTGCAGATGGCAGATGGGGGAGGCTGCGGTCCCCACAACCCCTCCGTTCTTTTTGAGCATGAACCCGTATCACCTCGAATAGGGAATCCTCATCAACAAAACCCTAAAGACCGTAAACCCTGACAGCCCTCACCCCAAAAACCCTAAAGCCTACACCCCAAGAACCCAAAAAAACCAAGCCCTGAGAACGCTAAACCCAAACAACCCCAGTCCTTGACAACCCTGAACAGCCCAAGCCCATGAAAGCCCTAAACCCCCAAAACCTTAAACCCTAAAACCCTGAACCAAAAGAAAAAAGCTCAACCTTAAACAACAAAACACAGACCTAAAAACTCTAAAAGCCCCTCACCCCAACAACCCCAAACCCATAAACGCAAAACCCCAAAAAACAATGAACCTTAAAATCCTGACGTTCCTACGTAAACCCGAACAACCTTAAATACACTAAACCCTAAAAACCCAAACCCAAACAACTCTAGAGACCGTAACAACCCTGACAACTCAAAACCACTAAAAACCCTAAACCCTAAACAATTTAAACCCAACAACCCTAAAACACCCAAAAGCCTAGCCCCGAAGACCATAAAGCCCAAAAGCCGTGACCCCCCAAAACCCTAAAGTCTAGAACCCCAAGAACCCAAACCCTAAGAACGCTAAACCCTAAGAACGCTAGTCCTTGACAACCCTGTACAGGCTGAGCCCTGAAAACCACAAAAACCTAAAACCCTAAACCCCAAACACATAAAAAAATCCTAGCAACCTCAGCAACCCCAAAAAACAAAGACCTAAAGCCTAAAACCCTTAAAGTCTTAAACCCTAAAAGCCCTGAACCCTAAACCCTAAAGCACCTAAGGCCCTTCAAACCCCTCATCCCTAAAAACACCCAAACCCCTAAACCTCAGAACCCCAAGAATCTCAAACACCACCTACCCTAAAATATGTAAACCCAACAACACTAAACTCTAAAGCATACAAAAACCTCAAACCCTGACAACCTGGAACACAACAAAACCCTCAAAATGTCAAAGCTTCAGACCCTAATTAAGCACAAAAAACAACTAAACCCTAACATCCCTGAAAACCCCAAACCCTAAAACACTAAACCCTGACAGCCGCAAAGCCCTAAACACTAGCAACCCTAAACACCCGAAACCCTAAAAACTCCCAAGCCCTAAAAACCCTAAAGGCCGCAAACCCCAACAAGTCAAAAACAAAACCGAACAACCCTGATTACCCCAAACCCTAAAAACACATTAAACCCGAAAAAATCTCAAACCCTAGAACTCAAGAACCCCAAACACTCAAAACCCCGAACCCAAAGACCTTTAATTCTAAATAGCACTAAATCCTAACAACCCTGAACATTCAAAACCCTACATGCCAAACCCTCAAACCAAAAGCCCCTACAAAAACAATCCCGAAGAACCTTAGCAACCCTAAAAAACCCTAAAGCACTACACCCTAAAAACCCAAAAGCCTCTCAACCCTAACAGCCTGCCTTAAAAGCCAGAACACTAAAAACCCTGAACCCCAAAAGCCCCAAGCACCCCCAACCCCAAAACCCCTAAACCCTGACAACCGTGCAAACCCTTAAAACACTCAACTCTTAAAGTCCTAAAGCCTTAAACCCCCAAGAACCCCAACCACCCCAAACCCACTGAAAATCCTGAACCTAAAACAAAAAGGAACTCTGAAAACCCTGAACCGTAAAGGCCCTAAGAACTGAAAGGCTCCTAAACTTTGAAAACCTGAGTCGCATATGTTACCTGTGGGCGAACCACAGGTTCTGTGCGTTTGACTTCAAGCAATGTGGGAGTTTCTCCAATCACAGACGGCAACCTTGGGACTTTAAAACTTTTTCAAACCATATGCTCAGAATCCGGCTGCCCGGCGGTGCTTCCGCACGAAGCGTCCCACGTGGAGCATCCCCACAATCGAGTGACAGCGGTCATTTGAATTCAAATTACTGCTGCAAGCTTAAATGCAGCGATGGCCTGGCTGATCTGAAATCTCGGGCCGTTACGTGCTTCGGCCTGATCCTCTTAACTCCTGGGGCACTGGCCCAATCAAAATGATCCGTACCACTTTCCCCACTGCAAACATGCTGATGACAGTGTTTTGTTTTTAGTAAGCGCCGTGACGGCGCCCCCCCCCCCCCCCGGGCGCATTTGCAAACAACATGATCCGCACAACCTTGCCCTATTGCAAACATGTCGACAGGTTTTTGTTTTGAATAAGCGCCACCCCTCTCCCCACGAATATGCAAACAAACTGATCCGCACAACCTTCCCCTACTGCAAACAGGCTGGTGACAGTTTCCTGTTTTCAGTGAGAGCCCCCCCCCCGCCCACCCCATGCACTTGCAAAAAGAATGATCCGCGCAACCTTCTCCTGCTGCAAACATAGAGGTGACATGAGTTATTTCATGGCAAGCATGGATCGCTTTTAAAAAGCAGTGGGAGGGTTGGGGGTTCGCATCTCAAACGTAGTCACAAATTTCATCTTATCTTGGTTCTCATATAAAACCTCTATAAAACCCCTTCTTGAAATCTTCTATGACCTGCCAAGGATATGGGAAACCAAGAAGCCGGGAAAGCCGCAAAGCCAAGAAACAAGAAGCCAGGAAGCCAGAAAGCCGCGAAGCAAAGAAGCCAGACACCAAAAGCAGAGAAAAATGATCGTCAAAACAAACATCCTCCCTGCTTTATGAATGAGAAAACCTATGAGTTGCAATCCCGCACAAGCTGTGGCTACAGAAGCCCACTGCCTACGACACTACCCACAAAATGGGCGGCCGAACCAGGCTAAACTCCAAGTTTACGAATGCGGCAAACACCAAAGCACACCAAGTACTGAGTCATCAGTACCATATTCCAGGACATGCTTCGCAACCTGCTTTATTATCAAATGGCGCGCGCTGTTACGTGCCATGATGGCCAGGCGCTGAGCATGCTGTCTCTCAAGCCAAGGGGCGCTTTTCTGATGCGACGACACTCCTGAGGTGGCCCCGCATTGCAAACGCACCGAAGCGAGATTGCGCAAAGCTGCCAAGACGCGGCCAGGATGGCGTGTACGTCCATGTTACGAGCAGGCCCCTTGAGCCGCGCGCAGCCATCCAGGAACTCCTGTCTGCATTTGAATCTGAATGCCAAGATCCCTTGCAGCCGCTGCATCCTGCATGCTAACTGCGTTGGAGTCATCAACATCCAAGAGCTTGAAGAACAAGTCCTTAGCGATGTCACTGCGCACAGCTCGAACCTTTCTTCTTTGGATTTAGTTGTCGGGTCGAACCAGTCATGCAGCCTCGTATCCGCATCCGTGGTTTCGAAGCCGAGAACTCTGAAATATGCCGAGAGGGTGGGATCTTCCAGCATCTCCCTTTCACATGCCAATGTTTGCAAGTGTCAATCAAGCTGACGCCGTGGCCGGATCTTGCTGTCTCTGTCTAAGGATCTCGGCCTGATTTCGGCTCGGCTGACTTCTCCAGAGCCATCATCATCAATCGTCCTTACGCGAGTCTTGAAAGGCTTCCGATTTATGGCACTTATACTAAGAAACAGCTCTGTCTGCTGTGAAAGGCTGGTGACCAGTTGTCTGCCAAGCAGCTGGAACAGTGCCCGAATTTGATGCGCATATTGCTCCTAAAAATCTTGCATCTTCTGCCAGCCATGCTGCTCGAATTTGAAAGCGGTCCTTGCTCTCCATCTCCTTCTCAATCTGAAAGTCACGCTGCTGGCTGGCCAAGTTCAACGCATTGTCCACAAATGCACCTGTTCCGCAGCAGCATCACTGTCTAGCTTTCTGACACGATCGGCAAGCAACATTCCATGCCTGTGATGACATTGAGGACCTCAAGAGTCGCAGCAGTTGCCGGGACCCAGCATCTCCCAGCTGAAGTCTCACCGTGACCAAAACCCAACAGCCGTTTCAAACTGATTTGCCTCTGCCCCCGAGCCAAACGCATTGAAAGACACCTTATGCCTTCACAATCCCTCCCCAAGTCTTGCTTGCACATCGAACTAGCATTCCATCTCTCTCCCTCGCGTTCAAGCTAAGATGCAATGGCACAACCCCCAGGGCCCTTCCCTGCTTCAAGTTTGCAGCATAGACTGTCATGAGGTTCATGAGGGTTGTTCATGCTGAAACATCATGGCCAGCAATGTCAGCTCAGTACAAAACAAACAAACGGAAATCGTTCCTTCCAACTTGAGATACTTTTTTCTGGTATTCAGCCTCAACAGCGACCAGAACCAGTCCTGTGGCTCTAAAATCCGGAAGCATGTGTTTTGTTGATGCTGCCAGGGCTTCAAGGCTTCGGGCGTCATGCAGCAGTCTTTGTTATGTGCTGCAGGGGAAAATCAAGTCCGGGCTGGGGCAACAAAAGACCACATCAGCGCTTCACAAACCACACTCAGGACAAGAGTAAGCCTGCATCTACAGTAGATGTTTGTAGGAAAAGTCCTCTGGAAACCTGTCTGCAGTAGCCAGCCGCAAATAGGCGTCGTTCTTGTTCTGGCTGCACTTGCACGCGCTGCTTGTTTGTCTTGAAATGTAAAAAGTCCTCTCCGCTTGGGCAGTGCTGGCAAGCGTGCGCGCAAGCGTGTGGCAAATCGGCAGCCCAGGTGCTGCAAGCATGGTGAAGGCGACATAGAGGAGCAGCAGTGCAGGTGAAATCCTCTGTCTCCGAAGCTGAATGGCAAAGGCAAAATCCATGCTCCCACTCAAGCCAGGACACACGTCAATATCCATGAGGACATCTGACACCTCCCCCCAACTGATGCCACCGAGCATTGCCTGCACCAAGGTGTAGGCCTCGGGGATAAGTCTCTTTCCCTGCAACTCCCTTGTCAGGTCCGAAATAAGATCTGCGCAGTCTTGGACAGGGATCCAAATCTCCTGTCATAGTTTGGAGTGGCCCGCTTTCAGGACTGCAGCTTCGAACTGTCTTATGCGGCCAACACAAAACTCCTGTACATAGTGCTCATTGTGGGGTCCGTGCTTGTCTGAACCAACCTCGTAGCATACGGTGCAGCGATACTCTTCTCTTGCTGTGATGACCGATTGTGTTGAGGAAGGAGCTGCAGCCAGTTAGGGTTGGCGGTGTCCACCCTCATTGGCAGATGCAGGCAGAGAAGGTGGGCCAGAATCTAAGCAGGATGTTAACCATTGTTGCCAAGGCTCTCAAGCTTAATCCAGTCTGCTGCGTTCGTCGTCAGGCTGATGGCAAACACATAAACAACAATCGCCTCATGCCCACTTCAATCGATTATATGTACAGCTACCCGCAAACAAATTGAATCGAAAAGCCAGCATGATCAACGCCCAAAGGAGCGACTTCATCGAGTCCACGATCCTGGAACGGTGAAGCAGCCGCTCAACAGCCAGATTTGCCCTTGCACTCCGTATTGCTTCCAGGGCTCATGAGAGCAACTCGAGCGAGAGCGGAGGAGAAGCGAAAGACGCGAAAAACACGAATAATTCGTAGCATCTTCAACGTCTTCACCTTGGAGCTGAGGAGCAGCCGTTCAAGACGATCAGTTGCAAAAAGTCAATCAGGGGGCCGCCTTCTGCTCAAAAGAAACAGCTAGGAACGTCCACATTGTTCTCTCTTGTAAGCTTGCCTGTAGCACTATGCTAGCGCTATGCCATTAAAGGAATTGCTGGATCCTGTTGGGGGCAGCCAGATCGATTGCTGAAACCTGACTCCGCTTAATGTGTTCCAACAAGCTGATGAGATCCAATAGCTGGCTTATTTTCTTAGCCGAATGTGCTCGAAGCGTAATGGAATTACTTGCTTGGCTGGTTTGGAAGACGTCCCGGACCTCAACCTGAAAATCTATCAAAGATGGGGTTGCCACGTTGGGAAGCTTGAGCGAGGTCAGGAATGTTAAGGGCTTCGTCTTTTGAGCCAGTCAAAAGACTCTGTGTCACACAGAGAACCTGGGCAAGAAAAGGCCCCACAACAGGCACGCAGAAAATGCCAAGGCGCTCCAGCAACAACCTGGGTTTGGAGCTCGTCTGCGGCAAATGTCTCGCACACAACTCATATGCCGAGGCATCAGGTCATCATCAAATTACCACACGGCACAGAAAATGCAGCGAGGCAGCATTGGCCGCACTGAGCCCATCCTGTTGATAAAGTAGGAAGGTATCGACCAGCGACCTTTGCAGGTGCACACAGAAACATGCCAGCACCAGTGAGGCTGGCCGCAGATAAACAAAATTCCTGACCGTCAAGTGGCAGAAGCACGAGGCCCAGATCAAACAAGTTCCAATTCCTAGCCAGGCTCCAGAGGCTGGCAACTGGCTGGCATGATCTGACATGTGCGCCTTTGAACAACCCCGGGTCCTGCTTTCCTCCGTGAAGAATCCTGCCCGTAGCCCGCCAACACGCAGCATAATCTCCTGACGCATGTTAGGCAGCAGCCTCCCGTGAACTTTGCACAACTTCAGGATAACACGCCAATCTTAGTGCACGACCAAGCAGAAGTAAATGTTACCTTAGCTTGGGCGTCCACCATCTGGTCAATGCGTGCCATGCTGCCACGTGCACCAGAGCTTTGCGCATATCTGCGGCCGGATTACAAAGAATCATCATCACTTCTAAGGACTCCGGCATCCTTCGTGAGCATGGGCCGGCTTCACAATATGAATGTCCACCGCACTGCAGCCACAGCTACTGAATTAAATGAGACGTGACCGAACTTGAGAAATCCAGGCATCGAAACATTTGTTGTCAGCGCTTCTGTCTCCCATCCCATCAGAATGGAATTCACAATGATCATGACCTGAGCTTTGGAGTGTTTTAGTTCAACCCGTACATAGCCAACGTGTAAGTGCTGACCACCAACGTCTGCAGACCGAGTGTCTGCCGCAACTGTATCAAACATTGGGTGCCTGAGCAAACAATCAAATACATGCGGCCACGAGCTCATAAAGCTACGAAGGGGAATGAGTGGACTAAGCCCCAAGCGAAACAATGCACTTCAGGCTAACGCCATCCGAGCAATCCACTTGGAAGGACTGGGTGAGCCCGAAGCGTCTTTTCCTGCAAAACTGGCCAAAGCCATAGCCTACACCGATGGTCCAGGATCCCTCGTCAACTTCTTCAGCCTCCTATTCTACCTCTCTCTTCTTCTTCTTCTTCTTCTATTTGCTGCGCGCGGTCCACCAGGGGCTGCGCTGGGGCTTTGCCCCGTAGCACAAGCCTCTGTCTATTGGAACCAAACGGAGAACAGACTTCAAGGGGGAGTTAGCAAACGCCTTTCTGAAAACTTGCCCCAATCTTCTCTCCGGCCCCCCCCCCCTCAGTGTTTGTACAGGCGTTTGCACCCACATGTTGCATATGGAAAAGTTTAACATGGTTTATCCACTCAGACTTACCTGCACCCTATCGAAAGAGGTGGCCTCTGCCTGACTATTGGGAGAAAATTTCACCCCTTGCTTCCCTCCAGAAAAACCTTCCCACATCCAACATACCACAAGACCACATACTGTGTATGTTCCACTAGCTTGCTTCCTCTGGCTTCGTTTGTAAACACATGCATGGGACAGTGAGACCCCGAGGGAGAATCAAGCATGCAACTGGGGGCCGCTTCTCTTCAGCAACGTTCGCCCGGTTGCATGCTTAATTCTCCCTCGATTATTACACTGCGCATCTTACCTCAAAATTCCTTCCCATCAACGGTGCTTCAACAGTTGCCTGTCTAGATCCAATATCTCCCTAATGTCTCCTTGTCTGCATTGTGTCCCGATTCACACCATGTTCGTTTCCCTTTGCTCATGCTCGCACGGATAAACAGCAACTTGCGTGATCGAGCGCTCTGTGCCAGCCTGTGCATCTAGCTCCTGCAATTTTAGCGCTAACCTGGCTGGTTGGCCTTGCACTACTATATGCACCCCAATGGCTGTTGCCATCTTGCCCAAGTGTTTCTCACGAGGATCTGACAGCAGCATCATACCCTAAACCTGTTCAAAGCATCAAGCTTTCAAGTCAAGTGTCTACAGGCCTTCATTGGAATATCAAACGCTTGGCTTCTGCAACTGGTGGAGGCCACGCCATGCCTTCTGCCATCATGGCTGCGGCACACGTGCAGCATCTCAGGATTATCTTGGGCTGTGTGTTCGACCCGGCCAAGTCCAGCGCCCAGGCGTTTACATTTTTTTGCGCAGTTGTTTCCCTCAGCTGTGTGCGTGGTGTGAACGTTTCGGTGTTAGTGCATAGCGGAGCTCTTCTTGCTCCTTGCCACAACTGGGTTCTAGAAGCGGCGCGAAGTTTTTGTCAACTAACAAGTGGTTTGCTCGGCAAGAATGCGCGCTGCTGTTTTCAAGCCGATTTTGCATCTTCGGGAATGTGGCTGGCAACATTCGCTCTGGATCGTTTGCTCCCGGCCCTTGCCCGATACAAGCCCCGAAGGCTGTGAGCGAGGCATGCGAGGCGATGAGTCGCTGGAATACATGTTCACTTCCCAGATCCTTGGCAGACTTCTTGCCGCACCTCGGGCATTCTGTCCGCGCCCAACCTTCGTTCCGGCATGCGTTTACTAGGTGTACTTCCATCTTGAGGGCGTCTGCGACTCGCTTTGCCGCGCAAAATGATTGGTTCCTTACACAGAAATTTAGAGTGCTGCTAGAGTATGCTGCGGCTTCTCTCCTAGCAGTTTTGCCCATGTTACCTGCATGGTGCTTTTTTGCACTGTAAGCTCAACTGTCGACTGTTGCCGGGCCGCACGGGCGGGAACTACCTCACACGTTCTTACGCAGCAGTCAGGATGCAAGCGCAGCTACTTTTGCATTGGTCGGACATGCCCATTGGCAGCAGTCCCGCACCCCAAATAACGTCTGCTGCCAAGCGTGGTTGCTTACGCTTTCCAACGCCCGCCGCAACCGCGCGAGGAACAGCCTGTACACGTAAGAACACTACACTACCAACCAAGAGTTTCACTTCCTACCCGTACCCTTGGGCACGCATCGCTTGCGAAGGGATTTCCATGGAGCAAACAGTTCACTGATATCACCACTTGCAGCTCAGGTGGACACGCGCAGAAGTGTTCATCTTTGATTTTGAAACCAAGGCAATTGCGCCTGCTTAGCTTGTCCGCATCTTGGCTTCGCTCCCCTGCAACATGCCACGCCTGCACCCCGCACTCCAAGTCCAGGGAAGTCAAGCAGATGCTCATCAAGGCGCACAACAAGGGCCGCTTTGAGCAAAGACCCTTGCCCAGAGCACGAACGACACCCATGTTGTCCGACTGCTGTCTCCAGCACCTTTGCCAAAATACGCCTCTCACAAACCTTGGCCCGCGCGATAAGCAAGGCTTGCTGCACAACCATTTCCAAAGCAGCGATGACTAATTCTAATCGCCCAGGGCAGGACCATCCTTGCGGTAAATCAGCCGCCGACAGTGGGATATGAAATCAGCGCTTCTGCGATGCCCCATCCAAAAACCATCCACCCATTCCAGCAACTGCTCCGTCTGCCCAGGCATCCACTGCTCCTGCCGATTGGTGTGTCCAACCCAGCTAGTCAAACACGTGTCTATCAAACCCTTGCTGTAGAAAAGACAGCGCATTGAGACCCCCTGGTCCAGGATCGTATTTGCAGGCCAAGCCTTGAACCTGACCCAGACAGCGCCATGCTTAAAGCAAGGCTGCCTTAGAGCGGCGTTCAGGCTGCGCCCATCTGCCACATCTTGCTTGCCCACCGCCACCGGTTTCCAACCTTTCTGAGTGTCCGAGAGCTTTGCATCCTTCAACACCATCAAAAGAATCGTAGTCCATAATCGCGCGCAACTCTTCCAACTGCGGCAACGCAAGCAGCTGCAGACGACTGCAAGGCTTGTGAATGGCAGAGAACTGGGGAGCCAGGAAAGGACGCAACGCCAAGTTGACTTGCGTTGCCCACACAAGCAAACCTACAAATTGACGCAACTCACGCCTGTTCACACTATGTGGGCGAATTATCCACCAAGCAATTGATCTCATAATTTGCAACGTCTTGTCCTCCAACATGCTGGTACGGAAGCACCCTGAGGCCCTGCGCCACTCTCCAAAGACAACAACCAACCAAGATACTTCAAAGACACACTCAGTCGGAGCTTCCTCCAGCTGATTGGCACTCCCAGTACTTGCAGCAAGGCCATTAGAATGGCCACCATCGGGGCATAGGAGTGTCGAGGCAAGAGCCAACGAAGATCATCCACATATATGGCTCCCAGATGCTTGAAGCGCAACACAAAATGGCACAGCCGGACCAACAATGCACCCATCTCGCCCACCAATCAGCCGGCCCCGAAATGGTTGACAAGATACATGTAGAAAGCACCCAGGAAGCTAAACACCGCAAATGCTATGTCTTCCGGCGCTGTAAGAATGGACTTGCGCGCGGCCTTCACGTCGGTGACAAGAGCACCCAGTCATCTGGACACGGCACAGAGCGGCCAAACACGCCCCTGCCTTTCTGGCGCTCCGCGAACCTATCTAGGGCTTTCGAGACATACCCAATCGACGGCACCTCCACCTTCCCGCAGAACTTGGCGCTGGGACTGGCACTTGCAGCGCTCAAATCACCTATCAAGCAGTCGTCTTTTCCCTGTTTTGCACCACTCCAAGCTTCCCCACGGCTAAGCAGCCATCTGGAAAGCGCTTGCGCAAGTCCTCCTCGCTGCACATGAACCTTTCTACGAACCCCTCATCAACCTCGGACTGTAACAGTTCCTGAACTTTCTGAGGGTCGCGGGGCGCAGACAAATGGTTCACCTCACAGAACTTCAGGTCGTCAAGGTCATGAGAGTCGCACTCTTCCGCACCACGCAGCGGCGGCCAGACACCAGAGTATGGGATAGGCTGACGTACCCCTGTCGGGGCACCGTGCTTGAGAGTGCCAGGACGCGCAATCCATGTCACCCAACTTGACCGCCAAGGCTTCCACTGAGTTGAACAAGTACAGTGTGCATGGGAATCGCTCACACACCCAATTGTAATCCACACACAAGCCGTGGCACACTCTCAAACGCATCCTCATCCGTGAACAACGGCGCTTCAACAGAGCTCCCGAGCAGCCCACGCACCCGGGCGAAGGGAATCGCGCAAGGCCTGAGCGGGCGGGATTTGCCAATCCATGGTACTCAACTTTGAGAAGCATGCCGTGGAACCAGGCCAGGCATCACAGCAGCAGGCCCACTTGCAAATCCATTGATTGCCCACTTCCTTGCTGTCACCTCCATGTCTTGCGCATCGCTCGCCGCCTCTCCCTGCAGGCACTTGAGCCTGTAGCAGGACCCAGTTGGACATGGCTGTCTCAAGGCATACGACGCAGTGGCTACGCCGCCCTCACCCCCGACTGCCATGCTGGGGGCAAGGAGCTGTCCAGGGGAGGGCAATCCTGGCGGCCATGCCGTGCTGTCACAGTTCTGAACTTGCCGCATCTGCACTTTCCCACCTGGAAACCGTGGCAGCCCCTTCTTCTTGGCGTACTTCTTGCCATCGCCTTGGACTGGATTCTTAGACCGCCGGGCATACGGGCGGCTGCCACCACCCTCGCCCTTGCCTTTGCAGCCCATGGGGCGCGGCTGCAGCCAACAGTTCAAGCTATTTCGCACGCACAACCGGGTTCTCCCAGAAAAATTAGGCGTCATCCAGTGTCAATCTGTGTGTTCAGTAAGAGATCTCAAGAACTCACTGAGAAAAGAAACAACATCCAAGTTGCAAGTTACATCCACCAAAAACTTCGCACGGTTTTTTGGGGGACTTGGGCGAAGGTAAGCCCTTGAGGTATTGTCGTCGTCGTCTCATCGTCTTAGGGGGGCCTGACGGACCTTAAGGGTTCTCCTCACCAGCGCCCAGCTACCGCGACGGGTTCAGGGCTGCTGCTGGGGCCTAATAACTAACA